ACGCAGCCCCAAACAGTTTCTTTCGAAACTATCAGCCTTTATTCGAAAATAACTTGAACCTAAGTCGAATATGGATTGCCTGTCAAAGAGAGACTTTTATTTTTTCGAGCTCTGCGAATTTTACTTCTGAATTGATGCATTGAAGTACATGTAACAGAAACACGTGCCACGCCACACACGTAAATTTACATGACGGCTGTTTTTTTCTTTTGTAAGGAGATTACTTTAACCGCGCTCCATGTTTGAAAATAAATTTAAGAAGTATGAAAGGGAAGATTGTGCAAAAAATATTTGGCATACTTTGATTTCAGGTGTTGACTTTCAGTATATAAACATGAATCGGGAATTATTTCAAAACTTTAGCTATGCAACTAAACATCTTTTAATAATTTTAGAGCCGAAAAACAAAACAATTGGCGTCACATATACCATTACAAGATTTGATTCGGTTCATTAACCAGAAGCTTGTGGTCACAAAGTACTTAAATCAACTTTGCCTGTCACGCACTTCAGAGGAATGTGATCACGAATATTTCACAGAGGCCAAAAAAAATTTTCGTCAGAAACATAGTACTATGATTGGGTGTTACTGTGATCACATGCTGATCGACATGTAACGTTGCCCATTGGAGATATTTGTAATTAAAAAAGCCTAGTTTTCCGGTCTCTTAAAATTGTCGCGTGACATGGTTAATTATGAAATGCTCTCGATTGGCGAGATTAATTTCAAATCAGTCCAACTTCGAACTTTCTTTTACCTAAGGTTCAAAGAATTGTCGGATGAAATGAGATCAAAATCCACCGCATTTTATTAGTGTGAGAGATTCTTTTTGAAAGTAAACTTTTAAGGTTAATTTTGGGGTTTTATCCCTGGGATTTGATGTGAAAGCGCCTGTACCCCAAGGATTAGCCGGGAGCCCAAAGTACTTTGGACACTTGAATAACTTTATGACCTTAATCATCTGTGAAAGTTTGAGAGAAGTCGGTGAGATGGCATGTGTCCACGCCTGCCTGGTCGTGGACAGACTCGAAGGCAAAACTCTGCCAACCTTCTGCGTTAAAATTAGGAATGGGCAAAGGGGAAAGGGGAGCGGAAATCCTGTGGAGGGTCACATATATTCAATTTATTTCTCTTTAAACGTCTCACCCTTTGAGTGTGTCGGCAAGGTCCTAAAATGTGTCATAACTTGTTGACTTATGTTTCAGCGTTTTCCCTCTCCTCCATTTATTTTCGTGACCGCCATTCATGACGATACCAACAGAACTCAGGATGCCATGGCCTTGTGGGTTGAGGACTTGAAAGTAGACAGCTTTACGATTTGCTTGAGGGAAGTCAAGATTTTCGATGGTCTACACAAAAACCTTAAAGTAGTAAGTGACACCGAATTTTATGAGGTGCTGTCCATGGTAGATTTACAAAGTAAAGGACCCAACCTTTCATGGAGAGGCCGGAGAACTCCCAGCTTTTCCCTTTATTTTTTAAACAGATGAGACAAACTCAGGACGAGTTTAATGTTATAAAAAATGTTATAATAGACAAAAAAGCCCAAATATTCTGTTTGTCAAAGTAACCATTGAAACTCTTATTTGATCTACAGAATTGGATAACTTTCAACAACATCAGCGTCAACAACTTTACCTTGATCAGTAGTTTGGTATTTTTCAACACAAACTCGCCATCTCCACAGGATAATTACACCTTCTGTCAAGTATGTCATTTTTATTCCTATCTTTTTTCCTTATTTTATAGCTTCATTTATCCTAATTTGTGTTTGCATTTGATCTGCATTCTGCTTTGAGTTAAGTGTCCTTGATTTGCAACACTTTTCTTCGACATTCCCTTCCCTTATGCTGGGTGTTTCTTCTATATTTCTCATCTACTTTGCCTCCCTAAGACAGCGTGGCCTTGAGGCAGTTCTATTAATGTTCACACTTGTTATTACTAATATGGATATAATCATTATTTTATTATTATTAATTTATTAAAATTTAGACTATAAACGTCACAGAGCCTTTCTACGCTCCACCGGTTGTGTTGGTTACTGCAAAGCGAAGCACTAAAATTAACAACTCTCTTCAATCCGGCTCCCAATGCAATGCTGTCACCACCTGGGTGGAGGTAAGCAATGTGTTCTATTATACGTTTAGCTCCTGGATACGAAAAAAATGGAATTATTAATTATGTTACTATTTTGAATTGAATCCTCCTTATTTTTGTTTTTATTCAGCACACATCTAAAACTGAGGCTCAGATTTGCTTCAAAACATCAAACAGCGATTCCAACAATAAGGACGTCATCACCGTGGATTACATGGTGACTGGAGGTCAGCAAAAAGTTTCAATTCATGATTGTTGTCGTGCTAATTTCAGAGAGACTAATTTTCTATTGTGAATGAAATTGTTGAATACCTTTTTCCAAAGTAACCACCCTCTTTGAATATTTGCAAAGATGAGATGGGAGTTGCAAATGGATTTTTTAGAATGGTACATTCGTTTACTTGCCTAACATCTTCTTTCACGCTTTTTCCGCAGACTTGGATCCCTGTAATAACGTCGTTTGCCATTATCACTGTCTGTGCAAAGCTTTTGGGCCTTTTGATGCTAGATGCGTTTCTGTAGAGAGCTGTCCATCATATCAAGAACCAGTCTGCTCATCAAATGGTTCAACATACGATAACGAGTGTCTGTTTCAGCAAGAAATGTGTGTTCTTCGACTTAACTACTCTGTACAGCACCCTGGTAGCTGTGAAGGTTAGTTAGACTGGGTAAAATATTTGCCTCCTTTGGTGTCTTTCAGTTAGAAATCCGTTTTCAAACTCCTGTAAAAGACAGCGACAGTGTAAGTGGTATTGTTAGTGTGGGTAACGGCGTCCAAACCAGATCTTGCTGCTGATAGTCATAGTGGTCATTTCGACTGGTGCGTTGGTGTTGGAATTAGTGGCCGATATTGGGTTTGGTGTCTATACAGATGAAGCAGTTTTAGCGCCAGCAGAAGAGACTCTGTCCTTGTGTTGATAATTTCATCTTGTGGTTTTACTTATCGTACTGTCGCGGGCTCTATAATAATGATAGCCTTAGCCTTTTCGAGGATAAACATACGGCGTTGTTGAGATCATTAATATACATTAATGATCTTCCCAACTCCCTTCGGGGCGCCGCACCAAGAATATTTACCGATGACACCAATCTTACGATATCTGCTAAGACATTAACAGAGCTTGAGCTACCTCTAACCCCTGAATTGAATAACTTTAGCCGTTGGCTGAAAGCTAACAAGCTCAGTCTAAATGTTGCTAAAACAGAGGTAATGATTATTGGATCAAGACAAAGACTATCTGCCCAATGTAACGACTTAGAAATCAGAATTGATGTCCAAATTATCAAGAGAGTCGACAAGACCAAATATTTGGGTCTTACTATAGATGCCCAACTCTCTTGGGGTAGCCACGTTGAAGAGATTTGCAAGAAAGTCTCTTCAGCTATAGGCGCCCTAAAACGTGTACGGCCCTTTATATCCAAAGAAACTGCAATTCAAATTTATAACGATTATGCCACGTTTTGATTACTGCAGCCCCGTCTGGGACTGTTTAAGAGGCTACTTAAGCGATAAGCTCCAAAAGTGACAGAATCGAGCAGCCATAATTATTACTAAATTTCCCTTTGATACGAGCTTAAGCCACCTTCTTTCCACCCTCGATTGGAAGAGGCTATCTCCTCGACGAGAGAAACAAAAAGCCCTAGTGATGTATAAAATTATAAACAACCTTGCTCCCGAATATCTACAAAGTCTTTTCTCTCAGCGTCACTCTGTGTACGACATAAGAAACTCTGAGGGAAGGCTGGCCTTGTCCAAACCAAACACCAATTATTTGAAACGAAGCTTCTCTTACAGCGGGGCCATGTTATGGAATAAATTGCCCAAAAACTTAAAAAATGCTTCATCCATTAACCATTTTATGCGAAATCTTAACGTAGTCGATATATAGGATTCCTACATGGCAATCATGTAAAGCAGTTGATTAATCTTAGTTTTATTATGTAACTGATGATTTTCCGTGTCTAAATAAAGATTTACATACATACATACATACATACATACATACATACATAGTGGTAGAAATGGTTTAAAATAGACAACAGCAAATTATTTGTTCGCCAAATAATTTTGATTTTCTTTTCTAGGCTTTCCTTTTCAGCGCGGTCGTCGCCAAATTCCGCACGTTCCATTACTTGGATATTCCCACTGTGAAGTCATTCGCCTTAGGCCATTTGTGTTTTATCCTGACAAGGCCCTCGAAGTTCAGATCACTGTCAATCATATTGACACCAAAGACAAGTCCTACGTACACGATGCCGCTGTGTCCTGGGTTGAAAATGTCAACAACAATAGATTCACTGCATGTGTGATGGCGGCCGGTTTCAATGAAAGACAATCAAATGCTAATGTGACTGTTGATTGGATGGCTTACCAAGGGGCACCTGTGGGTGGAGTTGCTGATGAAGTGCGGTTATCACAATGGTGGACTGGAACGACTTGTAAATCTGTCATTTTTCCTTCGGTTAGTAGAATAAGCTGTCTTATGATAAATGTTCTGAAAGTGAAGAGAAGTTTCTTTGCAAAACGGGAGCCGAGTTCAGCTCGCAGTAACGACCTTACATGCTTCATTCATTAAGTTAATTTCTCACTCAGACCACAATGCTTGACTATAAAGGACTACAAATGAGAGGTTATTGGTTTTCGAGATTTGAGATTGAAGAGAGGAGATGAAACCGTGCAGCTTCAGAGTTCTAGAAATAACAAATATCTTAACACACCGCCTCCTGGTTAGCTCAATCGGTAGAGCGCTGGACTGTTGTGCGGGAGGTCGAGGGTTCGAGCCCCGGCCGGACCAACACTCAGGGTCTTAAAATAATTGAGAAGAATATGCTGCCTTTCTATAACATCAAGAAATGGTTAGATATTCTAGTCTTCTCGGATAGGGACGAATAAATGGAGGTCCCGTCTCCTGCAGGGTTAGGGGCAGGAGACGTTAATTTCCCACGCACGAGATTACTGTGTGATGGATGTCCTCCCCTGGGGTGGGATGGGTGGTTAACAGGACCCCCGTTGATACCAGTGTTTACTACACTGAAGGGGCTATCCTGTATAAATATAGATGTCTACTCTACTCTACTAGTACGAAAACCCATCGTACAAAATCCCATCGTACGAAAACCCATTGAACCAAAACCCATTGAAGAAAATACATTACATAATACGAAATTTGAGCTAGCGTGTTTGGGCTGGGTGTTACGAAAACGAAGACCCTCGAAAACGAAGACGTAAAACCTAACACCCGGCTTTCGTACTACCGCCTCCCGGTTAGCTCAATGGATAGAGCGCTGGACTGTTGTGCGGGAGGTCGAGGGTTCGAGCCCCGGCCGGACCAACACTCAGGGTCTTAAAATAATTGAGAAGAATATGCTGCCTTTCTATAACATCAAGAAATGGTTAGATATTTTAGTCTTCTCGGATAGGGACGAATAAATGGAGTTCCCTTCTCCTGCAGGGTTAGGGGTACGAGACGTTAATTTCCCACGCACGAGATTACCGTGTGATGGATGTCCTCCCCCGGGCTGGGATGAGTTGGTTTACTGGGCCCGCAGTAATTGGCGCAAGCTGTTGCGGTGTCCCTGCCTGTCGGCGAAGCTAATAAACTAAACTAAACTAAACTAAACACAAAGCAACGACTGAAAATGCAGAATCAAAGATAATAATAGCTTCGACAGCGTCGGCGAAGGTACTTGAATAATCAAGCATAGCAGCAACGGCTGATAACACAGAAAGTTGGAGGTAAAATGCATTACCTTTTAACAGGGAAAATTTTCTGTGATGCCATCAGTATTTGTAACGGCTGCCCATCGTCATGCTGGACTGAAACGTGACGCTGCAAGTGTTTGGATTGAAGATGTCACGCAATCCTCATTCAAAGTCTGCTTAAGGGAACTTCAGAATTATGCAGGATCTCACGAAGATGTTCACGTTGTAAGTACAGAGTCCACTTACTTGCATTGATTATCTCACAGAAGTGCATCACTGTTTTTCTTTCTCTTTTTTTTTTCGTGTGTCTTTTTGCGTGCTTCCTTTGTCTTTGCAGATTGTAGTTACCTTTCCTTTTTCCTTTTATCGAGTGGCCTTATTTTTTTTCAGTAGAGGCAAAGGGTAAGGTCGATGAGCTGCACTTTAATAGATTAATACAAAATTAAGTGATAACGATTGATTTTTTAATTTCATATTTCAGAAATGGTTGGCATTCTCATCCCTGCACAAACCTCTCTTCTCTGAACACAACTCAGTTTATTTTGCTAATTCTCAATCCCCACCTACTGATGACAACAGTGCTTATTGCAAGGTAAATCTGAACTAAAAAGAGCTTGTCCAAGGTCAATGCATCGTTTTCCCATAAATATTTCCTTTTCATTCGCACCTCCAAAAGCACGGTCCAGAACGGGTACTGTTATTGTAATTTCTTGGGAACTGAGTCTTAATAGCAAGCTTCGTTCTTCAGTAGATCTTTATAAACTTACTACAAGGAAACTTCCACATTCAAATCGGAACTCAGATTTTACACTATTTCAGGGTTATCTAAACCCAGGTTTGAACAACCTAGTCTTGATCAATTTGTTCAAGGCTATGTGTTTTGTGTTCATTTGTATCTTCGAACAGGATTTAAGCTCTCTAAGTTAAGTCAATTTTCAAATCGATTCCATCTGCTTTTTACATAGGACGTCTCCTTTACTCAGAGGTACAACAGCACCCCAAATGTGTTTGTTTCTGCAAATCATTCAACCAGTGGTGGAAATCTGCAGCCGATACATAATGGGATAACAGCTTGGGTTGAGGTAAGGTCACCTATTTTATCGACTACTTAATATCTTCAGGTTTCTAATTTTTTTTACCTTTTTTTAATTCCTTTGCTCTTTTTTTGTTTTGGGAAATCTTCTATCTTGACTATTAAGCTACTGCTTAGTTTCAGCAGATGTTCTTGAGTTTGCTTTTTATTGCGCTCTTTGGCGTTTGTTTCATTCCCAAGTTTTATCATTTTTTTCTTCTTAAACACGAAGGCGCGCTATAAAAGGAGCCTTAGGTCCCACTGGACCATTTGTCAACCAACTGTCGTGTGATATAGAGTCAAGAGTCAAGTCAGCTTGAGCTACAGCTACTTCAAAGCAGTCAACAGCGGGCGCATTCCTCAAAATTGTTTTATGTCTTCATCACAATACAAGAATTTTTGAGATTTGTATTTCCTTTCTCCAATGGAAACTGTCTTTATTTGTGGCGGTAAATTTGAGATCGAAGTAGGTGGTTCGCACGTTACCTCATGCCACCATGCTGGTGGAAGTAAACAATAGATATCTCATTAGCTCCTTTTGTTCGTCTACCAGCATTTAAATTTGACCCGCACACGTCAACGGTGAGTGACAAATGAGCCTCGGTCTTCCCAGGAAAGATTTCCTTTTATAGCGCGCCTTCGTGTTTAAAGCTTCATTGAGTAATTACCGAGTTTTACTATATGCAACTGATATTCCCCTTGTTTACTTTTGGTGTTACTGTTATTTTTCAGTACATTAATGAGACAGGATTCAGAGTTTGTTTAAAAGAGTTGTATGAAACGAAGTATGACCCCCTTTCAGTGTCCTACACTGTTTTGTCAGGTGAGAATATGTTTGGGTCTGTGAGTGCTGAGGGATGTTTCATCACAACAGATAATATTTAATCTTATAAATAATTAAGAGCGCGTCCACGAGAAACCGGGCAGAACCTGGCATGGGCGATAATTCTCAAGTCCCCAATTTGGGTTCTGTCCTCGTGTACCGGTTCACAAGAGCCGATACAAAAGACAGAACAATACACAACAGCTAACCAATGACTCCTAAACAAAGAAAGAACAATGGTAATTCCCTTGTGAACCGGTACACCAGGACAGAACCCCAATTTGACTCAAACTTGGCACAAATGTCAAGTATTATGAGTTAACAAATGTGTGAAAATACTAGGTCAAAATATTTAATTCCCTAGGAGATATAGGGTTCCCCTGGGAAAGCCCCCATTTAATGCTTCTTTTGTCTATTTTTTTTTCACCTATCAGACTTCAAGGATATTGAACTATTTTAATTTTTTCATTTTATTTCTTTCCCTACTCCTCTTTTACGTAAAGACGACTTTTTCTGGGTTTGACAAAGTTAAAAAATAAAGGTATTTTAAGGTCCAATACCTTCGAAACCAACCACTTCTGATCATTATTCCTACATGGGTAGTGAAAGCCGTTAGTAGACTTCCCGATATAAGTAATAAAACTTTGGGGTAACTGATTTCATAACTCGTGCTGACGTGAAATTTACATCTGACTTCCGCTTTTTGGTCTGTATCATCAAAATTCCATAAACCACATCTTTGTTTTATTAACTTATAATAACTTGAAGTTTACAAGGAATTTCCCAGAGAGTACCGTTTTAACATGAACGAGGAGAGAATCTTTGAATAGCGCAAGTTGAGCCCTTTTTAAAAACTTTTTTCGCAGCCATATTTGGATTATTCTTGAAACGCAGCAGTTGATGACGAACATCAAGAGCGCATTTAGTCGAACTTTTTGACAACCTGAGAAATCTAGGGAGAAACTTGATAATACATACACGTCTCTGTGGTGCTTCAGTTGTAGCCACTGGCCTGATATCATTTGTTAGAGTAGCCATTATGTCAACAATGTACCAGATTCGATTTGCCTCGTTGCCTTGTTGAAGTATTAAACGCGACGAGAGTTCTTGGAGATATCGATCAAAATTATTGGTCTGTTACTGCCTGATACTTATCAACTTACATGATAGGTGTTGGTGGCAAAAAGATACTTTGATGCCTTGAAAGCCAATGCTAATCAAAGGGACAGTCCGCCGACAGGACTGAATAACGAAATACTTCGTTAGACCTTGCACGCTTTAGCTCGCGTTGTTAACCGTGTTGTTAACCGCAATGAAAAATTTAAAACAGTTCAATGTTCTTGAAGTCTGATAGATATAAAAGACAACAGTTGATTGAATTTGCAGATGGCTTTTCGGTTTGTCACAGCAACAATGCAAAGTTAGCTAATTCATCATGCGAAGAAAAACAGGAAATGCGGGTTTTCCCAGGGTGGACCCAATATCTCCTGGGGAATTAAATATTTTGACCTACCATTTTCACACATTTGTTAACTCGTGATACTTAGCATGCATTTACGTCAAGTTTGAGCATTATCGCCCATGCCAGGTTCTGCGCGATTTTATCGTGGACATGCTCTTAAGTAGCCATGAACAATTTCTATTTTGGCTTTTTTTTTTTTGGCTTTGCCCTATAATTTCCTTAAAAAAAAAAAAAAAAAAACAACTTGTACTAACGTTTTTGGCAAACAAACGCAGCCTGAAACCAGCCACTCATTTGCAACTCACATTTCTCACACATGTTTCTAAATCTGCTTTTCCATGTAGATATATGCGAACCAGGTTGGAGTTACTTCGACGGATACTGCTACTTCACAAGCCTCACATGTGCATCATGGCTTGCCGCTGAGTCTAACTGTTCTGCAATGGGCTCACAGTTGGTGACTGTGCACAACCAAGAAGAAAATGTATACGTTCAGCATCGACATAATGGAGAGAGATCCTGGATTGGACTCAGTGATCGGAGCGTGGAAGGATCATTTGTTTGGACAAATAAAGAAATCAGCAAGTTTCGGTACTGGGCTTCAAAACAACCGAATGATTGGAACAGCCAGGACTGTGTACACACTCTTGGTGCGAAGCTTGGGTACGCTTGGAATGATGTACCATGCAAAAACTGCTTCAATTTTACTTGTTTTACAGGTACTTAAAGTGTTAAAAACTAAAATAGTAAGCTATTTATATAGTGGAAACTTTCGATATAAACATTCGAATAAAATAGTGTTGATTATGAATGCATTGACGTTGTGCAAGTTATGCACAACGTATACGTTGCAATAACCAAACTTGATTGACAACTACAGAAAATTTCCTAGCACGTCTTTGCAATTCATGAGAAGTAAAGGTCTTTCCTACAGCCAGCTACATTATTATCCAACCATATATGATATGTTTTGCCTGCATTAAAACAGAAGAGCTTTTGTCTTGATTATTATAGACCTTGACGAATGTAAGACAAGCACCCATAGCTGTGACGATAATGCAAATTGTAAGAATACGTTTGGCTCGTATACCTGTACTTGTAAGTCTGGGTACTCCGGAGATGGAAAAACATGCAATGGTAAGATGAACTAAACCTGTACCCACTAAATCCACGCCGAGAGTTCTCATCTGTAAACTTTAACTCTTTTTTTCACAGAAACTACCTAGATACTAACTCAGACCCGCCTTTATACCTACGTATCTAACTCGATATCTTATTCGTTCGCTGCTCTTACCAGTGAGGCATCGAATTAAACACGAAAGGAAGAATTCCACATCTATGGGCGCTCATGTATTATTCCCTATTTATCTAATGTATTAGATACATTTATTACGGTTGCCCGTAAGGCTTTATGCGAATCATGACTTTCATACTTTCCTCCAAGATATAGACGAGTGCTTACCCAACTCTTACAGCTGTGACGTCAACGCTGTCTGTAGTAATAAATATATCTTATTAGACGTTTCGTTGTGTAGTATCGCTGAGTATTTTTACGAGTTGTGTCGTATTTTGACGAGCCCGTAGGGCGAGTCAAAATACAAATAAAGAGTAAAAATACTCAGCGATACTACACAACAAACGTCTAATAAGTTATTTATTATCCAACACGCCAATCTGTTGTTTCTGCGGGCGAGTTTCGCGGATATTTATTTACGGGAGTGCGTGACAGAAGTATGCGAAGCGGAACGGAATTGGCGCGTTGTTGTGTTGCTGTTTCTATTTTCTTCATTAAATGAA